CAGAAGAGGTTGTCGGATCCCCTGGAACTAGAGTTACGGACAGTTGTCAGCTGCCATGTGGGTGCTGGGATTCGAACCTGGGTCTTATGCAAGAGCAGTCACTGTTCTTAACTGCTGAGCCATCTCTCTAGCCATATTATTATTTTAAATTATGTGTATATACATGTGCATGTCTGTTTCTGTGTGTCCAGAAGAGGTGTCAGATCCCCTGGAACTAGAGTTTCAGGTAGTTGTGAGCCTCTGGATGCTGTGGGTACTGGGAACTGAACTCAGGTCCTCTTCAAGAGCAGTACTTTTTTAAAAAATATTTATTATTTTTATTTTATGTGTATGAGTGTATTGCCTGCATGTATCTGAGTGCACCCGTGTCATGCAATGCCTCAGAGGTCAGAAGAGGGCTTTGGATTCCCCTGGAACTGGAGTTAGGGACTGTTCATAGTCACCATGTGGGTGTTGGGAATTGAACCCAGATCCTCTGCAAGAGCAGTCAGTGCTCTTAACCGCTGAGCCATCTCTCCAGCCCCAAGAGCAGTACTCTTAACTGATGCACCATCTATCTAGCCCCAAATAATAAATATTTTTTACATTTACAAAAGGGTCATGCTCTGTTCCTGGGGGGATCTTGAGCCTGTTCCTGGGAATGCAGTTGAAGGCTTTCTTCCAGCTCCTCTGTTGCTTGACTCAGCTGGACAGCAGTGATCTGAGAACAAGGCTGGATGTTTGTGTCCTGAGGGAGCCTGGGAACTTTATTTACAGAGGACATTCTGTCCCAGGGCCCTGGCTTCTCCCCACACCCCAGCAGCTGATGTCTGTACTGATCACCCCCATAGAAGCTGCCTCTACCCACCCTCAAATCCTGGCTCACAGTACTCAGCACTGGCCTGGAGCATGGTAGCAGCTTCCCTTGGGAGCAGCTTCTAATTTCTTTCCTTTTCCTTTCTTTTTTGCAGTATAGGGCATTGAACCTAGGGGTGTCATGTATGCTAGGCAATTGCTCTACCACTGAGCTATATGCCCAGTCTTCTTTGGACGTTTTTTTTTTTTTTTCTTTATGAGACAGGGTCTCTCCCTGTAGCCCCAGTTGGCCTGGAACTCACTATGTAGACCAGGCTGGTCTCCATCTCACAGAGGTCCACCTACCTCTGCCTCTCGAGTGCTGGGATTAAAGGTGTGCGCCACCTTTCTTTGTACTTTCTATTTTGAGACACGGACTTGTTCAGGTTGGTTTTGAACTCACTGTGTAGCTCAGGCAGACCTCAAACTTGCAATCCTCTTGCCTCAGCCTCTTGAGAGGCTATGATGACAGCCTGAGCTACCAGGCCTCGTTAACTATGTCAAACTTTTTTTTTTTTGGTCTTTTTTGAGACAAGGTCTCCCTGTAGCCCCAGCTGGTATGGAACTCGCTATGTAGACCAGACTGACCTTGATTTCCCAGAAATCGACCTGCCTCTGCCTCCTGAGTGCTGGCACTAAAGGCACTAAAGGCACGCACCAAAACAAATGGCATGTAAAACTTTAATGATTTTTAAATCCAGGAGTGGGCTACAGAGTTGCTATTTGGGGTAATGAGCATGTTTTGAAAAAAGTAGTGAAATAAGGGGATGAACTTCCAGTTTTGGAATGAATAAGTCCTGAGGGTCTAATGGATATAGCAAGGTGGTAATGGATATGTTGATTGTAATAAATAGTACACAATGTATATCAAATAGGTGACCTTGTATTTTTTGAAAACTTTTAAAACTTTTATTATTTTTATTTTATGTGTATGCTTGTGTTGCCTGTATGTAGGTAAGTGCACTGGTGTCATGCAATGCCCTCGGAGGTCAGAAGAGGCTGTCGGATCCCCTGGGACTGGAGTTACGGACAGTCATTAGCTGCCATGTGGGTACTGGGATTCAAACCTGGGTCTTCTGCAAGATCAACCAGTGTTCTTAGCCGCTGAGCCATTTCTCCAGCCCCATGACCTTGTATATAGTATCTGTACATTATACACACATATATGAAGATAAACAAAAAATCCGGTATAAGGAGTGGGTTATAGCTCAGTTAGAGTGCTTACCTAGCATGCACAAGGCCACAGGTTTAATCCCTAACACAGAAACAAACAAACAAACAAAAAAAATCCAGGATGAGAGGACTAAAGGAAAGGGCTTTCACAAAATAAACAAACTACATGATACCATGACAGGAAATTTGGACATAGGTCCCCTATCTGACCACAGCTTCTCTAAGACTCAGCCTTCAACCTCCTCTGTGAAATGACAGACAGGACACCTGCTGCCCTCAGAGGGATGTCTAAGGTGTCAATGTGTAGAGCTCTTCTGCAAAGTACAGATCAGTATTAATTATATCTCCTAAACAAAGAGGAGGAAAACCTATCCGTAAGTGCCAGAGTATTATTTTTTCTTTCCTAGGATGGCTGAAAGTCAACCTTGTGTCTTTGGTATCTTTTAAATTGAAGCCTCCAAAAATAAGGAAGGAAGAGGGGAAATTGAGGAGGCATTTCAGTCTCTGATTCTTCTCCGAATGGGATTTTGTGTGTCCTTGAATTAGCTTTATGGGGCTTCTAGGAAAAGGACAGCTAAAAGTCAAGGTGTCAGAGAGGGGAGCAGCCCAGAGGAGCCAAGGAGTGTAGACTGGAGAAGGTTGGGGTTGCTCCCAACTTTGTGGCAAACAGCTCAAGTTTGTGGCAGTAATGGGCAAGGAGAGAAATACCCCTCTGTCTTCCTCCTCCCCTCACTCTGCCTTCATATCTCAGGTTGTCTTTCCCATCCTCCTCCTGAGAGACTTATTTCTGTCCCTTTTTTCATCCAAAGCAGCGGAAATGAATCATCTTCAGTGTTTGTTTAGTAAAATAGCTTCATGCTCCATGACCCTAGCTGGCTCACCACTGATTTCTCCTGGGCTAGCTACCCTAGCCCCAACACAGTCAAGACCCCCCCAGGGCGGCTGTCCTTGGAATGTGCTTCCCTCCCTCTTCTCGGCCTGGGGCCTGACCTCCTCCACCCCGGGGCTAGTGAGAAATGACACAGAGCATTCCAAATGACAATCCTAACAGCCAACCAGGAGACGGGGAACCAAGAAAACCGACGGGTTTTGAGAGCTTTGTGCGGTCTCGTAGTCTCTATTAGGTAGATCTCAAAGGTTCAGATGAGTCCAAGGTTCAGAGTTCAGAGAAGTGATGGTACTTTCCTAAGGACACACAACTAGGAAGTGATGCAGCTGCTGCTGCTGGTGGTGGTAGTAGTATGTGTGTGTGTGTGTGTGTGTGTGTGTGTGTGTGGAAGTGATGCAGCCAACATTTAAATCTTGAATTTGTGGAATTTTGGATTCGTTCCATATATTGCTACTGCTGCTGCTGGTGGTAGTAGTATGTGTGTGTGTGTGTGTGTGTGTGTGTGTGTGTGTGTGTGTGTGGAATGTGGGATGTGCTGTTCAGCTAGCATGTCGGCTGCAATCTATCAGGATAGAAACCCAATATCCACATGCATTAAGTCTTATGCATATGACAGATGTGTATTTACCCACGGAGGAGATGACAGGAGCCCCTGAGGGTGGTGTGTCAAGGAGCAGGGGAGTAAGGAAATAAGTGCAAGACCACCTAAGCCTTGCCCACCTCACAGTGATGGAATTTCACAGGAGCCAGCTGTGTCCCGGTTAGCCTACTTCCTGGTGAGCACAGTCATGTGACTATTTTCAGTTTCCACAAATGGATAGAGGCTGTTTCTTAGACCTACATGTTATGCAGGAATAGAATAACAACATTGAATACTAGTGAGGGGATGTGTGTGTTGGAGATGGAGGGTGGCATTAACACAGGTATCTAAGTTACTGTATATGTGAGGCATATCATAGATGTACTCAGAGCTACAGAGGATGCAGGAACCTATTAGGGAGTTCTAACAGGACCAGAGGCTGGAGAAAGTGCTGGAGACTGGGAATCACAGAGGGCTTTCTGAGGGGGCCGCATCTGCATATAGCTCTGCCTCTAAATAAGTGTATGATTCCACATTAGCAGAACACTTTAACACAGGTATGTTTAATTATTCCAAGAAGTCCTGAAGTGCAAATACATGTCTGTTGTGTGACTTTTCCTGGAAAGATGTGGACAAATGTCGATTCACCCCATGTGGTGTACCAATGACAAACTAAAAAAATGATTCCACTCAAATCTAGCTAGGTGAACCAATGAGTTTATTGGGGTTACTTACAGGATCGTGGATGGCTCAAGGGCAGCTGCCTCACTGAAAGGCCCACTCCAGCACGGATGGACACTCACCAAATTGTATGACGAGCTCCCTGCCCAGCCTGCAGGCAGCTCCAGCGAAGTCTTCTCTCCCCAGCAATTGTTCACTGTTTAACAACCTCGGGAAGGAGTCTTGAGTCCAGTACTTTTTTGAGCTTCCTGAGTGTCTTCCTGAATCTTACGAGCCTCTGTCCAGCGGGACTGTTTCAATGCGGAGGATATGGCTACTCAGAGGTGGAAGCTGAGGCCCAGAAAGACTGAATAAATGTTGACCACTCAGCTAGCAAGTGGCCAGACAGGATTAGATCTGGTGCGCGCTTGTTCCTCATGTCCAGGGTCTGGACCCGCTGGGCCTGGGGGCGGGGCGTGCGGTCATGGGGGCGGAGCGTAAGGCTCTGGGAGCGGAGCCACAGGCTGCTCCCGGAGAGAAGCCGGGCGAGCTGAGTCCTTCCCCGGTGTCCAGGCGAATGCAGGACCATGGGCAGCCTGGAGTGGGGAGCCGAGATGCGGCCAGGCTGAGCCCCGCTGAGCCCCGCTGAGCCCCGCTGAGCCCGCCGGGCCGGCCATGGGCGACCGCGAGCGCAACAAGAAGCGGCTCCTGGAGCTGCTGCAGGCGACTGGCACCGGCAACGCGCACTGCGCCGACTGCGGGGCGGCGGGTAAGGGTGCGGTTCGCGGGGCAGGTGGAGGCATGGCCCAGGGCCATGGCCAGCTGGTCCCTTCCCTAGGAGCCCGGGTCCATGTAGGACCCAGACTCACCCCTCGCTCGGGAGTCCAGACCTTCCGGATGGCGAACCTCCACGCTGCCCCGACGGTCCTCCGGCGTCCGGCTCCCCAGTCTCTCCCTCACTCCACGCTCTGCACCCGTTGCGGTCCACGCTCGGGGCCCAGCCGCCCTGTCGGGTCCGGCTCACCTCCCTTTCCGACCAGGCACCCCACCGGCCAGGACCTGGCTCCGGGTGTGATCTCCAACCTGCTGATGTGGCTCCGGGCCCTGAGACTAGGAGCCGGTCCCTCGGCTCTCGAGCTCTCGGTTCCCTTCAGTGCTGTGGGTTTCCCGGCACGCCCCCACGCGCCCGGGACTCTTCTGAGGTCTCCGTCTGAGTGTCGCCGCGAAATACGAGTGGGTTAGCCCACTCTTCATTCTGTCGGGTTCATTATCTCAGTTGGTCCAAGGTTGGACTGAAAGAGAAGGGGTTACTGGCATGGGCAGTGGGGGCCACTCCTGGGAATCCTAACAGTCCAGTCTGTCCCTGCGCCCCTAATTCAGCCCAGAGCTTCCTGCTGGGCTCCACTCAGCTGCGCTCCTGCCCTTCCACCCAGCAGATCCGGATTGGGCCTCTTATACTCTGGGAATCTTCATTTGTCTCCACTGCTCCGGAGTCCACCGCAACTTCCCAGACATCAGCAAAGTTAAATCCCTGCGACTTGACTTCTGGGACGACAGTATTGTGGAGGTAGAAAAGCGTGCATGTGCAAATTCTAGAGCTGGGGTTGGGGAGGGGAGTGGGGGAATGGGGACGCAGGTGGTTCCATTCCACAGAGGAGGAAACTGAAGCCCAGTGAAGGGCCATGACGAAGGAGAGGACACAAAGCCCTGAGTTCAAATCCTAGTTCATCACTTACAAGCGGTGAGGCCATAAGCTAAATCCTTAATCCTATCTGTGGATCCTCAGTTTCCAGGTTCAGCCCAGGCACAAAGTGAGTAGTCAGTTAATAGTTGCTGTCATCTGGACTGAGGAAGAGAAACGTCCTGATTCATGGTCTAAGGTCCTCTGCTCCTCCCCCAACCCACTCTGCTTTTTCTGCCTTGTGGGCATGGAGGAACTCTCAGGCTGGGTGGTGAAACCGTTTTGTCCAGAAAACTTTCAGAGAGCTGGCAGGTCAACATCACACTGCTGGACTGAAAGGTTCTAGGACCATTGGGGAAGCAAGTGACATCACTGAACATTTTCATTCTGTGACAGAATCTAGGCTGGGTATTTTACTATTCTGCCTGTACCTATGTAACTGTAAGCCTACCATGAGCTGGGTGGGAGGAGAGCACAGTGAAGTGACAGGGTCACTGTCCATGTGGAGCTTACATTCTGTGCAGGAGGACAGGCAACCTGTCAACCCACAGGCTTTTGCCTTGTGATTCCTGTGTTGTCATCATTTGGAAAGGCAAGAACCCTAGGATCGTCCATGTTCTGCCAGGGTCCAAAACTGACACTTGTCTCATGACACAGCCCCAGGAAGGAGGATTATAGGGTTCACTGTGCCCGGAGATGGGAGTTACAAATGTGACATTTCTCCCCACTCAGCCCTCACCCCAGCCCTCACCCCAGATATGCCACTGCCCATTGACACATCATTGGACAGACTGCCCACTCTGGATCTAAGGTGATACCTGGCCCCACTGATCATCCTGACTATGCACTCTATGGAGACAGCAGCCATGTGAATTCTCCAACTAAGTCTCCTACAGGAGACTTTCAGGGCTGTGAGGGGGCTTGAGCATCTGCGGAAAGTGTGAAAGAAAGAATACTAGCTTTGTAGGTGGACTTTCCATTTACTAGTCGTGTTGCCTTAGACAAGCCACGTAACGTCTCTGCACCTCAGTGGCCTCCTATTTAAAAAAAATGGTGGTCTTAAGATGGCTCAGTGGACCCAATAAGCTACTGTGTGAAAATTATAAAGGGCTGTTCCTGTACAAGGCATGGTTATCAGTGACCTTTGTTGCTGTAGACTGGGGCTTCCTGTGCCCAGTGAGATTCCTTCTTCTCTTCTTCTTGGAGGCAGTTTCTCCTGATCTAACTTCAGAGCCAGTGAGACTCACAGACTTCTGGGTAGACTATGGTGTCAGTTTTTTCTTTCTTTCTTTCTTTCTTTCTTTCTTTCTTTCTTTCTTTTCTTTTCTTTTTTCTTTTTGGTCTTTTTGAGGCAGGGTCTTCCTGTAGCCACAGCTGGCCTGGAACTTGCTATGTAGACCAGGCTGGCCTTGAACTCAGAGAGATCTGCCTGTCTTTGCCTTCTGAGTGCTGGGACTAAAGGTGTATACTACCACACCTGGCTAGTTCACACTGTTTTTCAAGTTCTGTTATTACCCTAGGTTTCTCTTGTCTTGCAGTTTATGACCCACAATGGGAACCTCCATGTGAAGGCCAAGTTTGAAGCCAGAGTCCCGGCTTTCTACTATGTCCCTCAGGCCAACGACTGCCTGTGAGTGAACGATTCCCTTAGGGCTCTGGGGAGGGGTCTTCCTAACCCATCCATATCCCCGATACCTTTGTGGTGAGTTCTTCTATGGACCTGGTCAGCAAGGTGTTTCAAAAATGAATTTGGTATTATAGAGGGCACATAGGAGGAGTCCTGGTTTAAACCAGATGTGGTGGCATATGCCTGTGATCCCAGTACTTGGGAGGTGAATGAAGGGAGAATAATCAGGAGTTCAGGGTCAACCTTGGCTACATAATGAGTTGGAAGCCAGCCTGGGATACCAGAGACTATGCCTCAAATAAAACAAAACAAAACAAAACAAAAGCCATTTATATTTATTGGGCTTTACTTATGTGCCAAACTCTGTGCTGAATGCTGTGTGCATTATTGTCTAATGCTTTCACCAACCCCGTAAGTACTACTGTTATTCCCACTTTATAGGCAGAAACTGAGGGGTATAGAGGGGTGTGGAACTGGGTCTAGCCCATCTGATACCAGTGGGATTGTATCATGGCATTAGGAAAATCCAGTACAGCAGGAGGGTTGTGAAGCAGCAGGAAGGTGGGGTGTCAGAGGGACCCTACGCCCTGCAGTGCTGATTTCCTGAGCCTGGTCCTCCTTCTCAGAGATTCCTCCTCCCTCAGAGTTGCCAGACAGTGTCCTGTATAAACAGGGAGAAGGGGGTCCCTCTAGGTAGATACAGCCTCATGGGGGCTTGGCTGGAAAGCTGTATTTGAAACACTGAGCCTCAGCATGATGCTGTGAGGCCTTGTACAAACTACACAGATATACCTGGTAGGTTCTGTTATCTCACAGTCCTTAAACCACCCAAGGACTACTGATGTTGTATGGAGTGGCAGGAAAACACAACTTTATGTGTAGGCAGCCTGGGTTTTTCTCCTAATTCTACTGCTACCCAGCTATGAAAAGGTGGGCAAGTCACCAAGCATCTCTGATGATCTCAATCTCAGATTCAAACACATAGACAGTGAAGCATGCCATACAGCATAGTGTAGAGCGAATGAGGTCATTTGTGTGAACATCTCCCATGCCCCCTAGTATGATAGTTTTAATGCATTTCTCTCAGTGTCGGCTTCGCAATGTTGCCTGGTTCCTTGCCCCTCTGAGGGATCTGTTGGACTCCACTGGAGAGGACCCATCCCATCTTTCAGCCTCTGCTACAAGCCCTTACACAGTGTTTCCTATGTATGGTTTTCATCATGACTCCTACACATGTCTCTGCATTTTTAAGCCCTGTTAGCTGAAGTCTGGTGACCACTAGTGACCACTTCACTCCAGTTCTAAAACTCTTCTACATTCCCCACCTTTGGGACCGGAACAGGAGCCCTTTGTTTCCTCCCCATGCTGGTCCTGTGGCTAGGATTCCCACTCCTATGCTGGGTCTGGTACCACCCTTACTCTCCTGTGGGTAAAGGCTATGCATTAAGGTCTTTTTTAGGGAGCGTGGTATACTGGGTATCAAAACCACAGCCTCATGCATATCAGACCAGCACTCTACCACTGAGCTACCCTTCAAACTTAGGAAGTTCTCTTGATTATAAGAGACAGAACCCCAACTTAAGTTGGCTCAAGCACCAAAAGATTTTGAGGGTTCAAAAAAAAGATCAGACCCCAGGAAGGACAGATGTGGAGCCACCCTCAGGAAGGACCATGCCAAGCCAGGGAGTAGTGGTGCACACCTGTAATCCTGGCATTGGGGAGGCGGCTGAGGCCAGAGTAGTTCCAGTTTGAGGAAAGCTTGGATTGCAGTATAGTGAGATCCTGTCTCAAAACAACAGGGCCTAAAAAATGACTCAGCAGATAAATGTACCTCATGCCAAACCTGGCAACCTGAGTTTGATCCCTGGGACACACATAGTGGAAGGTGAAAACAGATTTTCACAAGTTATCTCTTACCTCCACAGATACACTATACCATAAGTGCGTGTGTGTGTGTGTGTGTATACATATACATGCATATCGACATAAATGTAATTTTTGTTTGTTTGGTCTTTTTGAGACAGGCTCTCCCTGTAGCCCCAGCTGTCCTGGGATTTACTATGTAGACCAGCTGGCCTTGAACTCACAGAGATCCTCCTGCCTCTGCCTCCCGAGTGCTGGGACTAAAGGTGTGTACCACCATGCCCTGCATATAAATATAATGTTTTTGGTCTTTTTTGAGTCAGGGTCTCTCCCTATAGCCCCAGCTATCCTGGAACTCGCTATGTAGACCAGGCTGGCCTCGAACTCACAGAGATCCACCTGCCTCTGCCTTCCAAGAGCTGGGACTAAAGGCATGAGCCACCATGCCCAGCCATAAATGTAATTTTTAAAACTTTTTTTGGGGGGGGTGTCTGGAGAAGATGGCTCAACGGTTATTTATTATTTTTATTTTATGTGTATGCATGTATTGCCTGCATGTGTCATTCAATGCCCATGGAGGACAGAAGAGGCTGTCAGAACCCCTGGGACTGGAGTTACGGACAGTTGTTAGCTGCCATGTGGGTGCTGGGATTCGAACCCGGGTCTTTTGCAAGAACAACCAGTGTTCTTAACCACTGAGCCATCTCTCCAGCCCCGTAAATGTAATTTTTAAAAAAGAGGAAAGAGGAGGAGGAGGAGGAGGAAGGACCACATCAGATGCTTAAGCATGATCAGGTCTTAGTCCTCGTGGCTCTTGTCCTTACAGGTTTTGGCTCCCACCTGAAGCTAATAGAAAAATCACTTCAAGGTACAGGCTGTACCACCCAACATAGCATGGAGAGAACATCTGGTCAGGGCCTCAGGTTTTTTTTTTTGTCTTTTTGAGACAGGCTCTCCCTGTAGCCCCAGCTGTCCTGGAACTTACTATGTAGACCAGGCTGGCCTTGAACTCACAGAGATCCACCTGCCTCTCCCTCCCAAGTGCTGGATTCCTCAGTTTTTGTCCCCTTGGCCCATAAAGTCCAGACCCATTTGGGCCAGACGTCCAACTCTAGGCCTCTCCTGTACCCAGAGAACTGAAGTCAGCTAAACTGTGGATCATGTATCTGGAAAAGATAAGAATGAGCAAACAATGAAAATAAGTTTGCCCCCAGCTGCACAGTTTTACTGCATCTGAGAGTAACATTTGATTGAGTTTATCACTAGGCATCTACTGTGTGCCAAGTATGGTGCAGGGCCATTTACATTCCACTGCCGTCTTAACACAGAAGGATAGACATACTGGCATATTTCCCAAGTTTGGAGACATTCAGTAGTTCGGGCTGGGAATGAAGCTCAGATGTTACAGTGCTTGCCTAGCATGAAGGAAGCCTTGGGTTTGACCCCCAACACTATATAAAAAATTTTTGGCATGGTAGTGCATGTCTAAAATCTCAGCACTTGGGAGGCAGAGACAGGAGGATCTGAAGTTCAAGGTCATCCTCAGCTACATTGCAAATTTGAGGGAAAGCTGAGATACACTAGAGCCTGTCTCAAAACGAAGAAAGTAAAAGTTCAGTAGTCTTGCTCTATGCAGCGTGGCAGGCTCAGAGTTCATCAGCAGGTGCGGGAAGAGGCTCTTAGCTTTTCGGGCTCAAGCTCAAGAGCAGGGAGTGGGAGGGGCTCAGTAAGTGTGTCAGGGTTGGGAGCTGGTACTTTCCTCATTGACTTAGAGGGCCTGGGAGTAGTCTAGTGATTCTCAACCCACTGGGAGAAGAATTTCCCTAGTGTCTCATCTGGTACTGCTGGCATCCAGGAGGGAGAAGCCAGAGACAGTGCAGCACAGGACAGCTTCCTACTGCAGAGGATTATCCAGCACCACATGTTTATGAGAAACGCTGGGCCTTCTGAGAAGGCAGTGAGGCAGCTTTCGGGACATTCCCCCCTCAGCTGTAGGGTTTTGGAAAGAGACTGCATCAGACACAGCTAACCAAAAGTTCTCTTTTTAGGGTCTTAAAGGAACAATGGATTCGAGCTAAGTATGAGAGACAAGAGTTTATGGCTGATGGGAAAACTATCTTGCCCCCAGGTAAAGTTGTTATCTTCTGTTTTGAGGCCTATGTTCTAATGAGCTCTAGAAAACACAATGTGGGAAGCAGACCTAGTGAGGAGCATGGGCTGGATTTACTTTCTTCACACCCTCAAGCAGGGCACAACCTCACTGGGACTGACAACCTCACACCACTGACCTGAATACAAGATGACACTGTTCCAGAGGGCTATGGTCTTGGAGTATCTTACCTACCAGCAGGTGCCTCAGGGTCACCCATATTTAAAATTTTTACACATTGATATCAGTATGAAATTGGGCATACACACACATACATACATATTTTTCTTTTTTGAGTCAGGGTCTTGTATATTATGGGGTGACCTTGAGCCCCTGATCCTCCTGCCTCCCCCTCTTGAGTGCTGGGATTACAGGCGTGTACCACCATAACTCAGGTCTATGCAGTGCTAGGGATCAAACCTGCTTCTTGCATGCTAGACAAGTACTCTGCCAGCTGAGCTACATCTAAGCCTAGGACCATCTGTATTTTTCAGTACTTAGCCTTAAAAGTTTTTTTTCTCTTTTCTTTTTCTGCTCTCCTTTCCCCTCTCCTCTCTTCCCTTCTTCCCTTCCCTCCTGTCTCCTCTCTGCCCTTCTTCTTTCCCCTGCTCCTTCTTCTCTCCTCCCTTTCCCTCCCCTTTCCTTTCCTTCCTTTCTCTTTTGAGGCAAAGTCTTACTATGTAGCTCAGGCTGAAATCAAGCTCGCAACAACCATCCTGCCTCATCCTCCTGAGTGCTAGGATTATAGGCTCATGTCGCCACGCCTGTCTGTTGTCTTCTAATGAGGCCTGATCTCATAGAGAGCCAAGGGAGAAAGGTTTGGCACAGTGGGGGAAGTCTGAAATTTGACAAAGTTGGCCCTGGACAGGACCTGCATGTCTTACACCTAAAATCAACATGTTAGAGGCTCTTTGTACCCCTAGGATTCCAAGAGGCTCTTTAGCATGTTGAGCTCATGGTTGTTTATGTCTTCTCATCCTTGGTGGTTAAGGTGACCGAGAAGGATTCCTGTGGAAACGGGGAAGGGACAACGCACAGTTCCTGAGAAGGAGGTTTGTCCTTCTGGCAAGAGAAGGCCTCCTAAAATACTACACCAAGGAAGAGGTAAGAGACCAGGCAGTCAGTGTTTGCTCCCTAAGGCCTTCACATGAATGAATGGATGGTGCCTTGTCTTGTGAAGACAAGCACAATATTGTGTGACAGGCACAATATTCTACTTTTCCTTGGTTGTACAGTCAGTCCAGTCTACTAACAACCACTCTTTGGACACTTAAAATCAGCTTAGTTTGGCACACATTTTTGTTGATGTTGTTTTGTTTCTTTGAACCAGGGTCTCACTATATAGTTTGGGCTGGTCTGAAACTCACTATGTAGATCAGGCTGACTTCAAACTCATAGAGAGCTAGCACTACAGGCCTGCACCATGCCTGGCTTGTTCTTTTTTGCTTAAAAATTTTTATTACATTTTATGTATTTATGTATGGGAGAGGGATGCACACATGACACAGCATATATCATATGTGGAGATCAGAGGACAACTCTCTGGAGTTGGCTCTCTCCTTCTACCAAGTGGGGTCCAGGGATTGAACTCACATGGTAGGCTTGGTGCCAAGCACCTTTACCCACTGAGCCATCTCACTGGTCCCTTGTTTTGTGTTTTGAGATAAGGTCTCACTATATCGCCTATGCTGGTCTCAAACTCAAAGGCTTAAATCATCCTCATGCCTTAGCTTCTTGAGTAACTAGGGTGACAGGAATGTCACCACTGTGTCTGGCAACTGGTTCATGCTTAAGGCTGTGAGGATTGCTTGATTTTACTTCATTTGCTTAGGAAATATTGTCTTCCTTTTGTGATGCTGGGAATTGAACCAGGACCTTGCACATGCTAGGTGAGTGCTCTACCACTCAGTTAAATCCCCAGTCCTCAGGAAATATATATTGAACACCTACTATGTGCTAGACATTATTGTAGACACAGCAGTGGACCAAAGCTCTCAATTCATGATTTCCATTCTAGTAGGAGGAGACAGGCTGTAACCAAGATCTTATGTCAATACATGCCAGGTGCTAGTAAGTTCTGTGAGGTAAAATAAAAGGAGATGAAGACTTGGAGAATGGTGGTGGCAGCTACTACATAGATAAGAAAGGTCTCTCTGTTGACAATTGGACAGAGGACAGAATACATTTAAGGAGTGCGTTGTGTATGCGAGGAGGAGTAGACAGGGCAGATAGGATAGTGCATGCAGAAACCCCAAGCTAGTCATGACTGGTACAACCAGCTTTGTGCCAGTTAGACAGAATAGCCCCCCTGCAACAGGGTGTGGCCCGGGGAGATCCTGTCTCAAAAAAAAAAAGACCAAGGAGAATCTGCAGCCATTTTTTTTTTTTTTTAGATAAGGACTTTTAGATAAGGACAGGCTGACCTTGAACTTCTGATCGTCCTGCCTTCATCTCCCTTGTGCTGAGTTTATTTTCCTTCCCTCCCTTTCCTTTCTTTTCCCCTCACCTTCAGTTCTGGAGATCAAATCCAGGGCCTTCTTCATGTTAAGCATGTACACTACCACACTTCCAGCCTGAGTTCCAGAATTTTGCCCTACAAAACTAGAACGGCAGACTTGCTATTTGCTGAGCAAAACCCAGCTCCTTAAGAAGTAGTCAGGAGTCTTTCAGGTCAAAATGCTATTGACATCTAAGTGGAGTCACTGAGAAGGAGGTTTGACAGATGAATTTGGAGGCTGAGGGAGCTGGCAACATCAGCATGTGGACTAGTTCATCAATGGAAATGTCTACGGCCATCTAAACAAGGAAGAGATGGCTAAGGACAGAGTATTTGGTTATTTATTGCTGAGTAACAAAACTCCCACTCCTGTGAGTTAGGAATTAGCAGGCCTTAGCTGTGTAGTGTACATAAAATGGCATCAGCTGGTCCAGGAGGGCCCTGTAAAGCTCTCACGCACTTGTCCAGGGCACTAGAGAATCCCACATGCCCCGGCAGTCAGGAACTAGTTCTTGCTTCCTTTTTTTTCCCTCTTTCAGTACTAGAGATCAGACCAGGGTTTCATGCATGCTAGAGAAGCACTCTGTCATTGAACTACATTCCCAGCCCAGCTAGCTCAAGAGTCATTATGACATAGGGGCTATTTTTCCTCAAGCAAAGGTGAATGTCTCCAGGCCTTAGAAAGGCCAGGCAAAGAACTGTATTCTACAGAGTCAGAATAAGTCATACAGCCAGCCTTGACTAAAGGGAACATTTCTACCTACTTATGGGTAGAATGTCCTGTGCCTGCTGGGAGAGAAGAGAGTTGTGTGGGGGCTGTCTTTGGAGGCCAGCTACCACACTGAACCCTGGGACATTCTAGTGTTAGAAAACAGAAAGATGAGAGATTCTGGCAAAGAAATGTGAAGGATGGCCAACAACTTAGGACAAGGTCTGGGCACTTCAGCTTGGGCTCAGTGCCTTTAGTATATGGATTTTCCTGTTGCCTTCTTGGACAGACCAGACCAGCGCTAGAAGGGCTGTCTGGTGAGGCCAAAGTCTGGGACC